AAAAAAAAAAAAAAAAAAAAAAAAAATCAGGCCTGTACGGGATCCTGTACAGGCCTGATTTTTTTTTTCAGGTCTGATTTTCGCTATTGCATAAATAGCGCTATCTACTGCGAAGGATCGTGCATCATACGTATTTAATGACTGAATCTGTAGATTCCGTGGAAGTACTGCTAGAAATCTTTATGTTATGCCTCTTGCAACTTTTGAGAACTTTTCTAGAAGGAGCAAGAAGTAAATTTGAAATGATGAGCATACAGCCCGGGAAAAAATTGGGACAAAAGATTTCTAGATCAAGAGACTCGGTCGAACTGAACATGAATAACTGAATTACTATGATATTGGAATTATGACTTTACCAAACAAACTTTAACTAAACGGCAAAAGTTATCTGTGGACCTTTTGTTGATCGTCCTGATTGCTGAGTATGTCCTGACGTTTCAAGAAACCAGATTGTGTACGGTGATTTTTGCAGACATTAAACCGCAATTCAAAGATTGCCAAACAAATGTTTACATGCGGGAGTGAATTCCCTATGAGTCTTTTTCGTAATCCCACACTAAAAGTAAAAAATTTCTACCACGACATATTGCAGTGTGTTAAAGAGCCACTACAGTAAACAGCATAACCTTAAGAACACAGAGAAAGGGATTCTCGATCATACGGCCGGATTTTTAATAGTTTATTTCCTTTAAAATGAATAGTCAAGAGAAAGTTATTTAGTACACAACGCTTGACAACGAATTACCTAAGTCTGTTTGGTTTGCATGTCTCGGCACGATTTTCCGCACCTACTTTTATTCTGAAAATTATTCTGTATTTTATCAGTTGAATAGGATTTTTTTCGATTAATTTGCTTGCTTATGAAAGACATTACGAAATCTCGCAATCGAAATTTTGTAAACTATGATCCTAATCAGCTCGCCGGGGTGCCACATGAGAAATGTTTTCACATTTTAATCTTTAGAACACTCGCATCTGCAAATCATTTGCTTCTATGGGTGTGCAACGGATTTTTACCTCGAGATATTTCGCGGAGTCATCTGAAATTCGTATTAGGTTTTGTACTTATTAAATTTTAATCGACAGCACTCAAGAGGATTTCTAGAAAACCTTTAAATTATTCAACCATTAGTTCGTCAATCAGTTTAACCGTTGCTCTGAATGACTGTGAGAACAAAGAATATAACTCGACCTCAGCATTTTTTTATTTGGTCTTTTGGTAGAACGGGAGTCAGAATGACTGCGCAGTCGATGTTAGGCGGTTTAACTGTTAATACCTTGCAGGCTTTGATAAATATAAGCAGGAAGATGAAGGCATAGTCCACTCAAGCTTGACACACTGAACGATTTTCTTTTAGTGTTTTCTAGTAACTAATTGAAAATCTTCCAACGAGGTCATCATACTACTCCCAGAATTGTAATCGGGAATATTCCTTTTTGAAGAAGCGTTTTGCATCCCTTTTCTTTTTTAACTTGAAAAGCTAAACTTTCAGTGTCTTCTGTTCTAGAGCCGGAGCTTTCGTTATCCAGTGGACGATTGACTTCGTTTAAGTTTCAAGTTATTCCTTGCAGGACGAGATGGGGATGTTTCGCACCGCGGTTTAGCGTGCTAATGTATTAGAAGATACACTAAGAAAAATAGCGTCCACGGGATCTACCACCTGTTTTGAACTAGTTCAAATGCGTAATTCCACACAAGCTAGCTAGTCAACTAAAAGCAAATGAATACACGTGAGTCGACTAAGCACCGTTCTTTCCAAAATCACATTTCTTTAGGAACAGATACTCGATTAAAAACTTCCTCCATATATTTTAGATATACTTGCAATTCTGTAAGACGCAATCCCGTTTAAAAGAGGCTATTTTCTATTTGTAGAGACACGATCACACTGCTTCAATAACAGAATTCTCTACTTTTTTGATATCCGATTGATTTCCCCCGATCACGTAGCTAAAAGGCTCGCTCTCGTCTCATTGGCCCAGCGCTAACGTGGTTAAAGGATTATATTCGATGACAAAGGAAAACAGACGCGCGTGTGCTGTCTTAGCCACAAGTATCTAAAATAAAGCATTTGTCAACGGCGTGCAAAACAGGCGCTAGGACAAAACTCAATCAACAAATGCTAACATTAATCACGTACTTGTTAATGTTAACGTGCTGTGGTTTAAAGTTTGTCTTTTTCACTTTCTTAATATTGGAATTATGACTTTACCAAACAAACTTTAATTAAAGGACAAAAGTTATCTGTCGACCTTTCGTTGATCGCCCTGATGGCTGAGTATGTCCTGACGTTTCAAGAAACCAGATTGTGAACGATGATTTTTGCAGACATTCAACCGCAATTCAAAGATTGCCAAACAAATGTTTACATGCGGGAATAAATTCCCTATTAGTCTTTTTGGCATAGGGTAAAACCAGGACTGGACTCTGGACTGGACTGGACTGGACCCTGGACTCTGGTCTCTGGACTCTGGACTCTGGACTCTGGACTCTAATTTTACTTTTACTGTAATCAGTAGGGACAAAATTACGAACAACTATGCGCATCAATATGCGATTAATTTAGTCAATTAATCGACCGGTTTCGTCTTCGAGTGAGACTTCATCAGGATAACCTACAAATTAAGTTTGGGTGTAAACAACAAAACACTCGCAAGTATTTTCGCACAGGATATGATAACATTCTCTGCTGGAAAGTGGTTTTTTCAGGTGTTTTTGGGGCTCACGTTTTTAACCTTAAATTCAAAACCTTGTAGAAAACTACTTTTTGCGAAATGGAAATGAGCTATGTGTTCACATAGATATTTCTATCAAGGAAATGAAAAGCAAACCTGTGCGACTTTGAAAGGACATTGCCATTTATACCATTTAACAATGTCACATTTCATTAAAAAAAAACCGTGTAGACCGTATACATCTCGTATATAGTAACGAGTACCGAAACTCATCTTTTTTCCAGCACTTCGAGCACTTACGGTAACCGGAATTGTTTCATCGAGTTTTCACAAGCAATGACAAATTTATCAGTTTTTTAAGCTAGTAAAACCGCTGGTAAAACCGCATACATAGATTAACACTATGATTGTCAAACAAACCGATGTCATAGTGTTAATCTATGTATGCGTAGTGTAACTATGTATGCATAGTGTTAATCTATGTATGTGTTAATCTATGTATGTTAATCTATGTTAATCTATGTATCTATGTATGATTGTAAAACAAACCGATGTCNAAAAGTCATCACAGGAGCAATTTAAACCCATGAAACTGATCTATCAAAAGCACATACACCAAAGAGTCGAACACTTTCGCAAAATCTTAGTTCACTTGAATGTAGCTCGTTGACTAACATTCTTATTTCACTTGCTCCCTCATTGCGTTAGTTTAGAGCCCCTCAACTAGGTCATAAAACGGGAAAAAGGTGGATATCAGAATAGTTATCAGGGTCGTTGGTTGATTACGAATTCGGGTGACGCAGCAAAAGCAATGTGAGAATCATGTGAAATTCTTTAACAGGGACTCGATTTTCATGACTTAGTTGTAATATAGAAGAAAAATTTTAATCTCTCGTTATTTCTATGCATGCCGCTCCGGTATCATTAGAGACCACTAAACATTTGTTTTATTGTTTAAGGTGGCGGCGGCGGCGGCTTTAACGCTAATGGGAAAGGAGGCAGTAAAGGTGGCAAAGGATTTCTGAACGGTGGGAAAGGTGGAACGCATAACGGTGGGTTTGGAGGTGGCGGCGGAAATCTGATTTACTCTGGGGGACCTGGCGGCGGTGGAGGTTACTCTGGGGGAGCTGGAGGTGACAACGACAATCTCTCTTGTGGCGGAGGAGGCGGATCTTTTAATAGTGGAACAAATCAGGAAAATGAATGTTGTTGTAATACGGCTGGAAATGGTAGAGTGACTATCACGCTTATCAAGTGATCAATACAGATGGCAACAATATTTGCACAAAATATAGTTGGGGTATTTCACACAATCTCAAAATTCTTAGAAAGACAAATTATAGCTTATGGCATATTGCTGTATTATTGTAAACCAGGAATTCTCAGATGAAGCAGCGTAACAATCTACTTCCTTGGAGATTCGCGGGAAGCACCGAAATAATCCATCAGAGAGTACAGCATACAGTACTGGAACTTTTGACGCGTTTCAGTTTCTCTATGACGGCGTACTTTCCCTGAATGCTCCCCTAATATAATACTTGTTACTTAAGTGATCAGTTTTTTCATTTAGTTGTATTTGTATTTTAGTGGATTGTCGCATATAGATGTGGACTGCATTAACACTGGTGTAAGTTTTAGTAATACCCAGTTGTTGTGTTCTATGTTTTCAGGTCTGATTTTCACTATTGCTTAAACAGTGCTCTTTGCTGCGAGGATCTTGTACAAATACGTTTCTATAACCGCAGTTCAGATATATGAATTTCATATACTCGTTGTGTTTGATTTATCATCTTACGGGTTTATGTCGAATTAATTTGATGACCTACTCCCAGTTCGCTTGTTAGCTCATTTGGTAGCGCGCTGCACTAGTATCGCACAGGTCAGTGGTTTGAATCCCGTACAGGCCTGAATTTTTTCAGGTCTGATATTCACTCAGTATTGCTTAAATAGTATTCTTTACTGCGAGGATCGTGTACAAATACATCTATGTTTACTTGCGATAGATTTCGGCTGACCCTAGAGTTCAAGTTCGTCCCTTTTTTACTTCCCACCATTTTATCCGAATTTCCTTCAGGTCGTGAAGTTCATTGAGATCGAGTTAACAAGAAACGGTTTGCCTGTCTAGGCTCTACTATCTTTTGACCACCGTGCAGCCTGTAATGCATCCTAAAGGTAGTTTTGCCACAGACAACCACCTCGCCTCGATGGGTTCTCTTGTTTACTTCGGTATGGGGCTCCGCTTGGACCCTTCGCGTGCAGCAGATTGATCCGGCATAATTCTCATTACCTATATACTAGACGGTGTCTTAACTGTAGGAGGAAATTAAAACCTCACCACTCTCGTAAGTTAAAGGGTGTGAAAGGTCAGAGGAGCAGCTCGTAACACAGCTTGATTGAAAATTTAACTAGTCCTTAAATTATTACGTCGAAACAAGCGCTTACTGCGACCATACGATACATTGCTTTCAAAGGGTGCAGGTAGATCACTTGTCTATGCTTTCAAGAAACGCCAATATCTCTTTTTGCAAAGGACTTGGAAAAAAATTATTTCTTGCATCAATAGAAGTCATCAGAAGCGTCTGTAGTTGGTGGAGGATTTGCATCATTCTTCACAGTTTCTTGGCTTCTGTACATTTCTGCAAACTAGATTTAAGGAAAAGATTTCAAAGGGCATTCTAAAACAATTTTCTGTCGTTAGGGACGCTTTCGAAATCTCCGAACTTAAAATCCTTCAAGTCACCTACAAAATATAAATTCAAAAACTGGTTCAGAGAACTAAAAATCTCTGAAGGTGAGTTTGTAATCGTCGGACCGCAAACCCTTAAATTACCCGTGAGATCAAAATTTCCGTACATAAATTTTTTCCATTTTCGTGTTCAGTGAGTCTCCTTCACCTAGTCTGCAAAATTTCAGTTTAGACCGAGCACCAAAAATATCTTTTTTCTCGGGCCATTAAATTCACGATTTCTCGTCCGCCATTATTTGATCATGTTCCGGAAGTTTATTATTACTTTCCGACCCTATTTTTGGCCAAAAACTGCACATAGCATAAATTCAAAAATTAAGTCGAAAATTGATAAAGTAAGAGCTCCTTTTTCTCAATTCTGGAATAAAGTAATTCCAAGATATCCGAAGTGACTTTCAGTCTTTGTTTGAAAGGTGTTTAAGTTAAATTATGACCCTTCTGCACACAAACTTCTGTACGCCCGTGTGCAAAATTGAAATATTTCTTTTCAACCGTCTTAGCCGGTCAAAATGTTAGAAAGAAGATCTTCAGAAGGAAAACAAACTTTTGAAGAGTCCTCAAGCACAATATTATGTTTTTATGTTTTGTTTTATAATGTGTCGATTGCGATTGACTCCAATGAAATAATCTGGCGGCAAGGAATGTTCCTTTGTCTACTTTCCAATTAGGTTATTAGGGATGTCTACCGTAGGCATATTTTAGAAATCCAAGCGAAAATGGGCGCGAATTGGTCGTCTTCTGAGTCCGTCTACATATGTTTGCACCTCAGCAACTTCCACTTCAACGATACGGTCGGCACGTTTGTCGCTGCTGAGCCCTACTGGCTGAAAATCGTTCCCTAACCCGGCTAACAAGTCCACTTTGGTGGAATCTTGTTGCTTCGTGTAGACGGCCGGTGGTAAAGCCCCTTCCTTGTCCTTCGTAGTTTCCACCCGAACTCGAAGTTTGCTAAAGAATTTTTCCTTTTTTTTTACTATTTTTATTGACATAACTAGGCCCTGAATGAAATATCTGAACAAGCTTCTTCTCCTAGTATTTAATATAATAAATTATTTCATCTAAATACGTTTTCTCCATGAAGTGGTACATGATGAGACAACCTAAACATTTTAAAGAAGCTCGTGCACTTTTAAGGTCATTTTACGAAACATTTTTTGGAATAGGAAGATAGCAATCGAATGAAATCTTAGGGCAAATGGTTATTGGGGTACGCAAAGGGTAGAGTTTATTTTACAGAATTGAACATTCACTTTACCGTAATCATGAAATAACCAGGGTTGCTAATTGAAAGCGGAAACGGTTTTATTAAAACCTGTTTTGTTTCTGCTGTCATCCTGATCGAAAAAGCCATCAGCCTCCTGACTCTACTCGGTATGCAAGGCAAGCAAAGTGGCTCTCAATAATAAGGCAAACAGATTGCCCTGTGGGTAAGTAGGTTATAACCTACATGAAAATTCTTCTTTTTGACGATTTTAAAAGATCGCTTGGGAGAAACATTAAGCACTTCATTGGCGTTGAAATCCGGGTAACTTCCGTAGGGTAGTTTCAGTCCTCGGTTCTTAGTCAGCCCAAAGAAAAAATGTTTATTTAAAATATGTGTATCTCTAAGTGGTTTTCGTTGCTGCGGATATTTCGTTATTTTCATATTTGTGTTTCGTTCACCAACCTTGTAACAGCTGAGGAACAATGCAGGACAGAAGTTGACATTCGCGGCATGACTCTCAAAAGTTTCGTTTCCAAGAGAATGAAAGTAGCAGCTCCTCATAGCTGTGATATTTTATGCGAAAGGGAAGTTACATGCCAAAGCTATAATTTCAACAGAAAAGAACAGATCTGTGAATTAAACAACCGTACAAAGGACGCACGACCTGAGAATTTCCGCACAGACCCTGCGTGGTTTGACATTCGCCGTTTGAACGGAAGAGGTAAGCACTCAGCCGATACTCTATAATATGAATTATAAATATTTCCATCACGCAGTGTTCTTACAGGCCGCGTTTTCCAATACTCTCAATTACTTTCATATTATCTCCCGACTGTAATAATGAAAGATTTTATCTCTACCTCTTTCAGTGTTTGAAGTTTAACTTAAGTTAACAAAAAAAAACAGCTTTGATGCATGTGTGAAATATTGACAAGTGATTGTTGGTATATTTGCTTTTTAAAGTGCTACAAGAATCTTACGGTCAGGGAGAAACTAAAAAAAAACTTGACGCTCTTAACGGGGGGCTAAGGAGAGAAGGGTCTTGCTTTCCTTGCTCAACAGAGTGTTTAAGAATTCACAAGTCAAAGGAGAACAAAATAAATGGAACACAGGTCTTGTTTCTATTCCCACGTGCCTTTTTCTCTCCCCTTTCGATTTGTACGCCTATGAGTGCTTAAATTCCAACAATTTTACCTATACCAGCTCCCTTGGGTTCGATTCCGGAGTTACCAGCACGTTCATGCCATGAGATAAAAGCAAGTGAAGGGAAAGACATTGCAAGTAGCAACTACTGGGTGGATCCATCTGGCACTGGGAAGGCACTTCTGGTTAATTGTGATATGTATTTGGAAGGTAAATCATAGTAAAAGGACTCCTGGTTTGCAATTTAGCACAAGGTATGAATATTCCGCTGCTAAATTTATGTTTACGAAATATTGACTTCTTTCCTTCTTCATTCACTAACCAGATCACGATGAATGCATCAATGAAAATAATGCTTGTGACGTCAATGCATACTGTACCAACACCGTGGGCTCCTATTATTGTACTTGCAAGGAAGGTTACACTGGCAATGGACGATCGTGTTCAGGTACATCGCCTGATTGAGTTAGACTGATATCTTGATACGAA